GTATATACTCGGGAGGAGCTGAACACTGTCGTTTACTTATTTATCACACGAAGGAGCCCGCGTGCGTTCTCGAGTAGTCACTCGTTTTTCCTCTTTAACACCCCGTTTATCTCGCGTGTCACGTCGGGAGCGAGAAAAATGGAGATGTCCATCTGGTCCAGTCGAGGGATTAATTTCTTTTACTGTAACGATGGTGGTTTGAAGCTTCAGCGAGGCAGATAAGAGGGCCCAACAGTCGAAACAAGAAATTCTGCTTCTCTCTTTCTCTTTGGGAAAGCATACTTTCAAGGGTAACTTCTCCTGTGATTGACCTTTGGAACTTTAGGTTAAACTGTTTCTGGCCATTTTCAATAAGAAGAAGAAAAGAAGAAAAGGAAAATAATTTCTGAAGCTTCTCGTGGCAATAAATCGTTCGTCCAAGAGCCTAAATTTATAATGTACAGACCATTCTTTCCTCTTCGTCTAATCTCCTGACGATGCGTGCGAGCGCGTCAACATGAGATCGTAAACGTCCCGGCGGCGGCCACGACGAGGAGAGCTGAGCTCGCTCGCCAGGGGCGATCTGCGGCGCGATCGTCGATTTTCATCCCGGCCAGTATCTCACTCCCCCATCTTTTGCGGTCACACGTGGAATTCTTCCCTGGAAGAGAGACGCAGCGTTCGTCGAAAGACGCGCGTTTCCCCGGGACGCTATTCTCGACCAATTTACGACCACCCACGTTCTCGCTAGCGAATCCGTGCGCCACGAGCGCGCACGAGTCCCCGATCTCCTTTTTTTCTCCCTTCGCTCTCATCCTTCACTCACGGTATCCCCCGGTATCTCATCTCGGACTCGAAAAGTCGCGCTTGAATGACTAAATGGAATCGAAGTGAAATGAAACGACCGCCCGCCCGTCCGCGTGCCATTCACGACGTTCGTGCGTCACGTCTCACTCCCTTGTGTGCGCGACTGCCGAAAAGCCGGCCGGCAACGACAATTTCCGGCGACGGGACGCGAACGGTGCCGATGACTCTCGTGACTTAAGCCTTTCTGGCTGTCACGCGGCCGTAATTATGCGGAGAGAGCTGAATGCTCTCACTGAATGACTCGGCAACGGTCGGATGAATGCGCGGGGTAAACTGCTTCCATTACCGAGACACACCGTATTATTATATTATCATGCCACATTATATACTATGTATTTCACATGTATATATTCGCATCCAATACGAGGCCGTGATGTCTGTCGTGATTTGGTGATTTAAAAACTTATTTCGGGTAATCTGTTCGGAGAGCTTAGAAAACGGATTTAGCACGCGCAGTAAGCCCATTTGTGTATGTGTGTGTTAAATTTTTATTAAATATATAATTTTGATCTACCATATTTTTTTGATATATTCATATCTTTTTATATCAGAAAAATTAACACGATAAATTTAACAACATAACGACGTAACATGACAGTCTCAGATCGGCGGGGCCGTAATAACGCTGCTCCACCGGGGGGTAATACTCTTAATTGCCGATTTTACGTCTGGAAAATATATTTTTCGTTTTGATCGCGGGGTATAATTGGGTATAACTGCGCGGAATGCCGACGTAGGCGCCCCGTAAAGCGCGTAAACCGGCAGGAGTCTCGCTCATGATTGTTCAATTATCGGTCATTCGACGGAGCAACGTCAGTAGGTCGTGAATACACTAATTATATTGCACACACACACACGTACGCTAATACATATCCTGCTAGATAACCATAAACGGAAAGATACTTAACCCTTGGAAGCACAGGATCTTCAAAATTCGCATTCTAATAAAATATTCACGTCACGTGTCTAGAATGACACAACTTAAGGGATCATTCGTGTGTTCTGAAATTACAATTTTTTCTATTTTTATCAAAACAGCGCGCAAACTGAACGTTGCGAGTAACACAAAAAACCGGTAGAGTGCGTCACTATACACAGGCTGAATCACGGTGGTTTCGTTGCGAGATCACTATGCCTGCAGCTATGATTTGGTTCTAATAGGTGATCTCGCGGTGAAGCCACCGTGCTCCAAAGGGTTAAATATCTTTTTCGAAGCAATCTCGACATACGATAGGGTTGACAGCTCAGGGGGGTGCTCCGTCCGTCTTCTTTTCGGCCGTGACCCCGCGGCATTTTTCCCCCATCCTCCTCGCGTTACCTTGCGCGTCGTAAGAAGAGGAGCGCGGGCGCGCATCCGGAAACGAAAATCGAAGAAAACGATGGCGCACGCCGGGGTGGTATAATGCTCCTTCGAGGCGGCGGCCCCTGACGTCCCTTCTCACACTCTCTCTTTCTAACGGGACGGAACGTGGTACAATAACGCGCCGAAGCGCGTCGGATTCCGGCTGACTTGGAGAAGAGAGTTGGAAAGAACTCGCCTCTAATTATCCTGCTGGACTATATAGTAGCTGTGCGAGCGCACGCGTGCGCCGCGTATCTGCATGCGTGCACGCATTGCGTGCGTGCGTGCGTGCGTGCGTGCATGCGTGCGTGCGTGCAACGTTGGCGCGCGACCGAGAGGAGGACCGGACTTCAAGGAGAAGAGCGGCTCCGACGCAACGGAATATATTATAGACTCGTTCCTTTCGACTTACGCCAGGCTGAAATCTCGCTCTGGGCTTCGTGTTAACTTAAGTGTCCCTGAAACGGACTATGTGCGAGAAGAGCGCGGCGCGCGCTTGTCGCGCGCACGCGGCCGTCCGTTCCCGTACGCGCGCGCGGAATCCATTCCAGTTGACCTCTCAACCGCCGATCTCCTCTTTCATCTCTTTTTATTTTTTCCCTTCTTACGAGCTTCGGTCCGGGGAGTGGACTGGGGATTATTGCGGATCAGTCTCGCGCATCGAGATGCGCTTTCGCGGTGGGCAAGCGATCGTGTCTTCGTGAAGTCGAGGCAAGCCTACACTGAAAAAAATTATTTGATAAGAAATTAACAAACGGATATTTCCGATCAAAATACCGATGGATTTTTATATCCGATCAGGCAACGGGGATCTCCAATGAGAAGGATCAGTTAATTTTTTTGATCGGTTTATCTGACGAAATGCTATTATGATCGGAAGTATCCGATGAAATTTAATCGGATATACTGATCAGATATAAAAATTGATCGGAATTTTGATCGGAAATATCCGTTTGTTAATTTTTTTATCGGATAATTTCTCTCAATCAATCAATCTTTGCCGTGGAATATTATATAGTAAGATACGATTTTTTGTAAGGATCATCGTCGCTTCTTGCATGATAAATTGGCAATCGAAAACTACGAATTACTTGATTATTGTTTGTCTCTTTGTCTTCTTGCATAGTCACGTTTCGCGGATTTAAACAATGAAAACATCAGATTAGTTGAAATCTTCAAATACCATCCGAGCGGCGCAGAAAGGAAATACATTCAGTGCATAAATCTTTAGGTTCATCGATTTCGCGCGCTTCGGCGCGCCGGGATGCCGACACGTCGCATTTTGCGAGTCAATCGCGCCGCACAATTGCGTCCCGAGCTTTCACACTGATTTAGTCGTTTTGAATTGTTTGTGGTTCCGAAAATCGCGAGGCAGCGAGCCCCGAAAGGGGCGCACGACAGAGAAATTACTGTGATTCCCTCGTGTTATTTACTCAAGAAGAACCACAGGAACACTGACAGGGGTAATCGAGACCAGCTCCGCCTTGCACCGCGCTGCACCGCGTCGACTCGGTTGTTTTTCAAACGGAAACGATCTTTTTCCTCTTCTTTCGTTTCGTTTTCTTCCCTATTTTTCCCTAATTTTTTTTCGTATTTACAAGTGATTCGGATTGCACTTAATCGATTGTATCATTTTTTGGATATATTCTCTTATTTTGGCATACTTTGCAAGAATTTTAGGCATGCATTTGCTTCTGGCGTTATAAATTAAGATAGTCGCAGTGTGAGGTCAGAAGCCTTAGGAACTTATTGCTGAAAACAATCGTCGAGCTCAGAAGGATCGAGGGCAGAATATTGCGCGTACTCGTGATTTTTTCCCGACGTACGAGACATATTCGCAAACGTAGAAAAATAAGAATGCGTAATAATATATAATGTATATAATATATAATTTTTTCAAAATAAAAACGATACGACACATGCGAAAGAGGTACGACAGGTGTTGTATTCTCTTTTGCAGCCGCTTATGGTAATTTATTGCCGCGAAATAAAACAAAGTTTTCGTACACCTGCGGAATTGGATGCGCGTAATTGTCCATAATTTACAGCGAAACAAGATGCATTTCAATTAAAAATACGTACACAGAGAGAGAGAAAGAAAAACAGACCGCATGCAGAGCGCTCTCTCAGATGTTTGTCATCGATACGGCTTATATCGTAAAACTCAAAATGGCCGAGGTAATAAAAATTTTCAGTTCGAAGTTAACAGGAGTCGTAACGTGCACGATCTGACAAAATTCATAGCGCGCAAAAATGAATGCAAACGCGAGATATGAGCGAAATTTCCCAGATAGACTGTCATGATTGTCATGACGTGAGACGTACAACACACATATACACACAATCGATGATGAGAATTTTACAATCCTCTTAATTACATTTATGAAGGGAATATACTGTATTGAATGAATTATTCAATGTCATACAGTAATGTAAATTTTTTGTTGTCATATAGTAATGTAAATTTTTTGTTGTATCGATGCAGCAACAAATGTACTAAGAGTCACTCAGATTTTCATGTCACACCTAATGTACGACATAATGTTTGAGGAAAATTTTGATAAATTTTCTCGTATTTCTTTAGTATCGCTATTTCATCATTCTATGTGAATGCAGTCTGGTTGATCATCATACAAGACTCTGCTGAATTTCGCGGTCCAATATACTTAAAGTTGCTGTAAAGTTGGTGCATGTCAGTCTATCGGGTTTGTCACGTGAATATCCAGATCGTCGCGGGGAGGGCGTGGAAGATGGATCCGGTTTGGTCGGGAACAGTGCGATAACAATCTCCACGAATTATTCGTAACATCATTCGATATATTTAACGAGTCGTCGATTATTTACAGAGATGCGCAATACTTGGATACTCAGGTAGTTGGTACTCAATACGCTCGGGTAGCCGAGTATTGACGGCGCTAATAATTATTTGTACATTGCGTCGTAAATTATATGCGATAAAGAGTCACGGGCGGATCACGTACAGCCCCGAGTCGGTAGAGTCTACCTCTCCCATACGCGCAGGCACGTTTTGTCAGCGGTGATTTCGCGCGACGCGATAAAGCGTGCGCCGCCCGCGACTTCAAGTTGGATAGGAGTTCAACCCAGGTAATACCCGAGAATTCTCCTCGAGACACCATCTGGCTCGTACCGATAATTTTAGAGAGTTTACCTTAATAGAAATAATAAAATAAAACGCTACGCGTAATAATTATGGAATGACACATCGTCGAATCTCTCGATTTCTCGGTAGCTTCGCTTGTCCGTCGTAAGAATTCTCTCGAGACGTGATGATCGTCGCGCAACGATCGGTACAGCCGTGAAAGAGAGTGATTGGGCAAAACTCACTGTCCCGCCGTGTGATCGGAAAAGAATCATTAAGAAGCATCTTTGCGGTTCTTAGGACTCGCCCGATTTTTGGACGTCTTCCTTCTCAGCTGCACCGTTCGCATGGTGGGACGTTCTGTATAAATAATAATAGATCCATTGCCGATCAGGCGCGGCCGATTTTCGAGGGCACGTTCGCTCTCGACCCCAACGGGATTACGAGAAAATGTTTCGGCGCTAAAAAATAAGTTACGAAAGCAAGAAAATAACACAGCGTCAAGAATTGCAATGCGTTCGTTGTGCAGCATTCGGCGGCGCGCCTAATGACGGTTCAATCACGCTTCAAGGTACTTTGGAACTCGACGTGAATCGAGAGCGACTTCGACATCAATACGGACATCGCTCTGAGAGAGAGAGTGATAATACATTTTCGAAGGCTTTCGTATGTCGAAGGATTTCGTATGTGTATCCGCTCTGGAGATGATAAATACAGAAATACTATGACTAGATCACAGCAATTGCTTCCGGTAGTTCTTAGTTGTCCCCTGTACGATTCATGCTTGCTCTCGGCCCGATCCTGCTTTTGCACTCGTTGCTGCAACAGAAAGTGGAGAAGAATTTATTAGACGGGTATAACGAATTGTTACGATAAATGGGATGATAATCTTTTCATTGAGCAAATTGACAAATTTTTACGGAGATTTCTTACGCGACTTACGCGTAATATCTTAGCACGATTCAAAGACGAGATTTGAGGCTCGCGCTTTCAGCATGGTATCGATTTCTCCGAATAGATCACGGGTTTTTCGTCGGTGGAGAATGATGAAAAAGAAGTTCTGCAGGTATACGAGATGGAAGAAGTAGGGGATGATTTCAGGTAAGGGCGGTTTTACTAGAAGGGCGTCTCTCTCGTCGAGAGTAAAAGAGGGAGAAAAGGATAGGAGAGAGGGGGAGGGAAAAAGAGAGGAATGAACTGGAAAAAAGAAAGAGAGGGAGAGAGAGAGAGAGAGAGAGAGAGAGAGGAGAGGGCAACGTACCGGTTCAAAAACTGACAAACGAGGGACGGGAAAGATGCATTCAGGTTAAACGCGGCAAACGAAATCGTCCTCATAAAAAGGAGAGATGGAACGGGAGATGTGTATAAAGAGGGACAGCGACGGGAAAAAGGTGAGAGAGACAGGGATGAGGGAAGACACGTCGAGAGAACCGAAGGGATTTGACGAGAAAGTTACGTCCATCAAGATTAGAGTCGAATTCGAACGCGCGGGCTTCGGAAGGCGATCGATTCTTGCCGTCGTACTCGCGCACGCGCGACTTGTTCCTAGATTTTTTTCTACTGAGAGAGGAAACATTATTGGAAATTTATCAAGAGCCTCGAGAAAATGTTCAAGTGCTAGCTGAGTCTTAATGAAGTTTCATATCGTTGAAGTCATCATACCTAGACGTATCCTCTCGATGAAAAACCATTGTAACCATTTATAAAGAAATTCGGGAATTATTAACGATACTTCAATTTTCCAATACAAAAAGGGAGATTCATTTCATGCTAAACTGTCGCGTTTTATAAAATTTACCTTATGTAATATACATATCCGTCCAAAAAAAAAGTGTCCTCTCCGAAGATCGGATCGATCGACTTGGGACGCCGCTGAAGAGTAAAGGGGCGAGTAGGGGGAGGGGAGGAAGGGGCGGTAGGACCGGAAAAAACGGTAGAAGAGGGACCGACACTCACGTACACACGTATGTGCATTAACGCACCGTGAAAGAAATCGCGGCACAAAAGCGTCGCTCCTCGAATGTATACGCGGTGCCCCTCTGAATGGAGTCTGCGATTTGAATGGACGGGGTTTCAGCGAGGGTTTGCGCGCGCCATTGTGAGGGGGCAAGGTCACAAATCTAGTCGGAAATTTCTTTAGGCTTCCCCGCGGCAACATAGCAGCGAGATATTCACCCTTGGATGAAATTTACGGTCGTCAACGGGCGAGGGGGTGGCGAGGATAGATGAAGAGAAACATTTTGGTAAATCGAATCGATCAGCCGATATTCGACCGTGTTATCGAATGTCAATGTGCCAGTGTCATTTGACAGTAATCTGTTACCGGTCTCGCTCAACTGATTGTTCTAAAGTAGACTTTAACAGCAGTCAATTGTGTTAAAATTTCTATAGTTGAAGAGGTTCTTACGTAGACCGGCAAAGTTGCATTTGATGAGGTATCATAAATACGGAGTAGTAACCACGATCGAATCACAAAGGTGAAGAATCTGGACAAGAACGGGGAGCTGAGTTTGACATTCACGATTATTGCACACAACGCAACATGATCTTGCAGCACGAATTGAGCCGTGAGTTACAATTACAAGAGAAAAGAAACAATCGGATCAGAACACTAACCTTGAGGAGGAAGGGCCCGCGACGAAATCGACGTAGACGTCTTCACTGACTCTGCTGCCACCAGGTGATGGCGTCGAGTAACACCTCGTCCTCCGGACTCATCGGCTCGTAATTATCGTAACTGTCGGAATGCATCGCGTAAAGCGTGCCCGACGTGCTGTAGCCTTGGCTCCCGGCCGACGAGGTCTCGGAGACGAAGCTCGGCGTTGGCGAACTCGACGCCTCTGAACACGTCGTAGGGACGAAGGTTGGACTCGGATTCTGCCTGAGATGTTGATGCCGATGTAGGTCGGACCCGTGCGGACTGTCATGGTGATGAATCTCCCCGGTGACGCTACCACGTAGTCTGAGTTCTGCCGCGTGATGGCTGGAATCGGAACCGACTCCATTTTCGGAACCACATAGAGGCGAGTTGGAGGACGTCGAAGAAGTCGGTGAAGATCCACTGGACTCGTTGTTGCCGTCGTGCTCCTCCAGCAGACGCTTGAGACTCCTGATATACTCCACCGCCATTCTCAAAGTTTCCACTTTCGACAACTTTTTGCTACCGGCTCTGGAACCACCGTGAGTCCCGGTCGTACTACTCCCTAAGGACTGCGCTACGCTCTGCGGTATATGTTGTCTCAGGGTGGCGAATCCGTTGTTCACCTGCTTCACTCTGTTACGTTCGCGCGCGTTTCGCCTGGCCACCGAGGCAGGCTGATGCGGCACCGTACTGTAGGGCCCAGTGGGCTGGCCGTAGATTTTGGATCGCTTGCATCCGTGTTGCAGAGTGCCGCTATTGTTGTTGGTCGGCATGCTATTGGTGGAGACAATCACGTTGCCACGATGGGTCTGCGCGCTCGAGGTGGCGTGAAGGCCGTGGTGGTGATGCTGCTGCTGCACGCTCAGCATGATGGGCAGGACGCTCTCCTCCTTGAGCCCCATTAAGGTCTGGCCGGAACTCCCCCCCCGCCCCACCACGCGGGAGCAGAAGTTGTAGCAGCGCGTGCCAGTCGACCTTGATGGACTCCACTGCTCGATATATCGATGGAAAAACCTCGCGCCGAGGTGGGTCCAATGCAACCTCGTTAACTACACCTCAAAGTACTCGCGCGATCGTTAAAAAACGGACGAAAGCGTGAGATTTACTCGACCGAACGGAAAGAGAAGCGTGGGAAGTAATATAAAACCGCACCCTCGATACTGTTGGTACGGTCCTGGCTCCCGAAATGCCTAGCTAAGGAGGGTTCGGGGCCTTATATAGCTGGGGCGGGCACGCGCCTATCCCCTCCACGAGCCCTCGTACTCGATCCCGGGTCCTAAACCCTCGTCTTCTCCCCCTTTCCCGTCCTACCGGCCCGCAACGCCTCATACCCCCGTGATTCCCCACTACTACTGCGGCCCCAAAGGCCCTACGCTGCCCGAGATTCTCATCTTCGATCGTTCCTGTATTGGTTCTACCTTACTAACCCAATATGTTTATTGATCGACATTACAGGAGCATGATGCATCATTGTGGATAATTACAATGTTTGTTGTTGGCATGCGTTCGAAGTAGTTGACGACTCGATGAGCTGACGATTGGATAAGGCATTTTATTTTGGAAGACGATATAAACCAACTTAAGGAACGTTTCTGCAAACTATTGATCACAATGAGAATCCATCCGCGATCTATGCGATCCATTCATAAGAAGACAGCTCAGACTAGTGACCCAGTATCGATAAGGCCCATTGTCTATCCACTCAATCGAGTTCTGCGCCATTCATATGAGAAACACTGGCGCGCACATATGAAGGGTCCACATCCCCACCGGTCTCGCGGTGTCTCGGGGATCGAAATTTGAACAGTTACCGGGAGAAAGAAAAGCTGGTTCGGGGGCCCGGACGAGTCGACAGAAAGAGACAGCGAAAGAGCGGGGTGCAGAGCACACGACGAGGACAGAAGCCGAGGAAGAAGAAGAGGAAGAACGATGAGGAACAGGGAGTGGGAGGAGATGGAGAGGTCTGCGGCTGGAGAGCTGTGCAGAAGACGAAGAGGTATCGGAGGAGAGTAAGAGAGCCCGGTGGCACGGAACGTACGTGTATCCGAGAGGGGTGGGGCGGTAGGGAGAAGCTGCGACGGTAGAGAAGTATAGCGATGGGCACGATTGCAGAATGTAACTTCGAGATACGGCACGCGTTGTAAACACATTGCAGCTACCATCAGAATGGGACAGTGGAGCGTCATTTTCGATTATCAGACTCTCGTGACCTAAGCAAGGATACATAAAAATTAACCATTCTCCTGGAACTGGTCGGGTACGATAAAAAAAACCCAATTTTTTTGTGCAGTTGCGAACTATAAAATATATAAAGAAAAATAGATAACACTGTATGAAAATATGTATGTTTCGATATCCAAGAAGGATAATGCACTGAATACACCGAATTTCCAGCTACCCTTATCGCGGGGCGGCATATCTGAAAGGAAGTTTTTCGGTAGAATAGGACTGATATCGCACTCGCTGCCGTCACTAGCAAAGAAAACGCGTATGACGATCAAGAGGAAGGGGAAAAGACGCGAGCCGTCCTCCCTTCCTCACGTTTGTGGCGCGCGCCTACTCCCATCCACCGGGTCTTCCCCTCCATTCGTCCGGTTTTATCCTCACCGGCCAGAGCGTACGCGTGCGTGCATGCGTGTTGCGTGCGTGCTTGCGTGCGTACGCGAGCGCGCGCGCGCGCGCGAACGAGCGAGTGAACGAGAGCGAGTATGAGGACGCACGCGTGCTTGGTCGAGTCTCGTGCTTAAGGGCGCTTGTGTGGAGGGAGGGATGCGTACACGGGACATACATATGTGTATGCGCGCGCTCGTGCTTGTGTGATGCGTGCTCGCGCGTGGAACAGGTATATGCTCCCCGTTTCTTTTTTCTCCTTTTGATCCTGGCGGTTCTCTCTTCCCGTCTCTTTTTACGGGTCTGTCTTTCTCCTTGTCGAAAAGGCGACGCGCGAGGGGACACCGTAGGGCGGCAGGGACCGCCGGACATTTCCACGCGAATAAATAAACGTCGGGGTAGAGAGACGTCCGACGGTTTGGATAGATAATGGAAGCGGGCTTGGAGCCGGCTCCACGATAAGGGTTCACGGTTCAGGAGCGCGAAAGAGACACAGGGCGTCTCAAAGTGTTCGGAGTCGTCGAAGGCGCTCGAGAGCACGATGATAAGTGGCAAACACGAGCGCAAGGCGCACAAAGATCGCCGCGCGATATCGCACAGCTGTGGAATCGACATTGACGTCAATTTGACGTTCGTAGTTATCGTTATCTTGCCGTATCGCGCCTGCTACGTCTGCGAACCCTACATGTTTAGCTGGCGCGAGATAAAAGGCGCGTCGGTCTTATTATTTTGAGACTCGGGAACGAGAGAGTCGGAATTTATTTTATAATTATATTCTCCTGAGCTACTATCTGATATCCCCACACTCCGCTCTCGCGGCTGAACGCTACGCCGCTAATTACCGTGGAATTAATTACCGTGCCGAATGGTGAGATGAGCGATGCCGCGCTTGTGTTGTCCGGAGTCAATCCTTCCCGGAGTCCCTCGGCTGCGCTGCAACCGCGGTCCGAGGCGCGTTGCAGTCGTCTCGCGCCTCGGGCGCGGTTTTAGATGCTAGATTGCTCGGATCATTGTCCCGCGCGCGATCATAGAGATTAGGGGCTTTCTGGTTGGCCGGATGAGGTATGGATCGTGGATGCACTGTGCAGTCGTTACAATTCCCGAGCCCTTTTGTTCCCCGTCATCTTCACAACGGAGGTGTTTAGCGCGGTTTAGCTCGATAATACGTTGATATAATAATACACCGACGTTGATTTGTGTCGATTATACGTTACCGTGAACAGTTCGACACGTATTTAAGTAAAAGGGATAATGACACAGTTTGCTGTCCGTTCATATTTTATTCAGATTTCAATCGTTAATTATATCCACGAGAGAGAGAGAGAGAGAGAGAGAGTATCGCATTTCAACGCCGAGTCAATTGTCAACTCTCGCGATAAACTCTGTGTTGTCGCGACGATCAATCAGTCTTCGCAAAGTTGGCGATGAGAACACGGAAGAAAGACCTCTTTTGCTAAGTGTATGGTCTGTCATGTGCGACGCAGGTTCGGTAGGAAAGTATGGATTTTTACGTGTCGGCACGTCGACACCAGCTTGCATATGTCATATGCAACGCACAGGTACCTCTCTGTGTCCCAGGCTGGGCGAGCAGTCGAGGAGAGGAAGTTCGAGGGAGAGAATTTACGCTTGCATACGCCTATTTCGTGAGAGGCCATGTGGGGTTGCCCGCCAGAACGTAATCGGCGATACATATGGTGCGTAAACGTATGCCGGCAGGTACGCGTATCGGTGAGTGAGCCAAGCTAACATATGTCGTAGCAGGTTAGCCGGATACTGACGTTACCGATTAATCCGCTTAACGTCTCGAAGACTTTGTAAAATAAATATACTTTCATCAAAGTATCGAAAAGGATAAGAGAAAATCAGCCTATCGTAGTAGGAAGTTAAGGGTAACGTTGTACCTAATTTTGGGTATGCCTGGTGCTGAGTACTCGTGTCTTTCAAGCATTACTCAGGTATTCGAGTAGCTTATGTCAGGTGTGACCTGACGATCATCTGATCATCGATTTTCCTAACGATAAAAAGTAATGAACAAATACATTGTAGATTCCTATTTACTTACTACCTGAACATGTAAGCAGTATTATCCGAATACTACCTGAATATCAGATCCTAATATCCCTAATATTTTCTTATTAAGATAATATCTGTGTGTTTGGATACTCGAATGCAATCTGGGTACTTGGATATTATCTACGAGTTTGAGAACTCAAATATTGAGTATTAGCACAACATTGGCGAGTTGGGCTACTCTAGTGCTATTTGGCTATCAGGATAATATTCGCGAGTTTGAATACGCGAATATAACCTGGGTACACTGAGAGAAGGATTTAGTAAATATTACCAAAATTTGGTTACTATTACTAAATGGTAGACGTAAATATAGCGGGCCAAAGCTATGGCAATAATTATTAATTAATTTAGTTCTGTAAAATAAATTATTTATTTGACAGAAGTAAAATTTATTTGCTTCCAGAATATATTTGATAAATAAAACTTATTGAATAGTTGAGCAAAATAAGCGATTTTGTAATAGTTACAAAATTTTTGGTAGGTTCAACCAACCATGTGTAAGAATAGATATTGAAACAATGTAACAGCTGCAAATGAATAAATTTTTCGTTGTGCTGCAACAAAACATACTTATACTGGTAACAAAATAGAACTCGTACCTACTGAATTTTTATTACATGAGATATAACAATTTTATAACAATTATCAAATATCTGTTCATAGCTGTAATATATTTCATATTAAATATTTAACATTAAGTAACTATTACTAAATTATTTAATTGATGTTACTGTGAATGCAATTACGTCATATTCCCGATCTATTAAATATTTGGTAATTATTATAATATTTAGTATTAGTTACTAAGGATCCAACGAATTTCTATAACTAAATGCAGTTTGTTATAGTTACCAGTCTTTTCTCTCAGTGTACTTTGATGCTACTTGGAAGATTTAGTAGATAAATATTATCTGAATATCAGAGTTAAAATCAGTGAATGTGGATACTCTAATGCCACCTGAGTACTTGGATATTATCTAGCGAGTTGGAGTCCTCGAACATTACCTGAGTATCTAAGTAATATCCAGGTTGCAACAGCAATAATCAAAGCGTCAGCAGACCCGTCGTGATTGTGCAGTAATTGAAAGTTATTAATCGAATTAATTATGCGAGTTATTAGAAATACGTTTCATAGAGGTAAGACACTACAGCGTCTGACAGTTTGCCTGACAAATCTTCTGATAAGTAATTTATTATAAATAACTGATAAATAATAAGTAAAATTAATCAATATACCAAAGTACCGTATCGAAGCATCAAGCGAGTACGTGCGAGCATAAACGGTGCGCGTTATTGAGATGGCGCCAATTACTGCTGAGAAGTGGATATGCTGCATATCATGCCGTAATTAAACTGCACTTTGCGCGCGCGCACGTACATTAATGAACAACGTGCAACTTTGTTGTAACGAACACGTAAAAAATTTTAATACAGTGGTATTTATTGGAATTTATCTTCCTGATAATTCATCTTTCCTGAATCTCATCGTG